GGAAGGAGAGAAGAGGGAGGAGAAGGGTAGGGAAATGATCAATTCAACAATAATGGGGAGACAGAGGATGGCATAGGAAAACAACTACTGGGCAGCAGCAGTAGTGGTGGGTTTCACTAAAGTAAAGAACAGCAGTGACATCATAGCTAACACTTGTTAGCATTGCACACAGGTGGTCCTTCTTGTGTAACCACACCTAGATAACCCTATGAGAAGACATCGAAATGTCACACAGGCAGGACAAGAGCACTAACAGAAATATAGATACAAACTAAAGGAAAACACACTTGCAAGAGGAGCTAAGGGCAGTCAAAATGATGAAGCAAGCTGTACACACTCTCAGAAAGGCAAAACCCATCAGAAGCAGCACCATCAATAAAACAGGGACATGTAATGTGAGAAGCATGAGCCAAGGGATACTAGACATAGTGAAAATGGAAATGGAAATGCAACACATGAACATAGAAGTGCTGGGGGTGAGTGAGTTAAAAGGAACAGGAATGGGCCACTTTGAATCAGACAACCACAGAGTGTTCTAGTCAGGGAATGAAAAGAAAAGAAGAAATGGGGTGACTTTCAAGCTAAGAAAAGATGTGGCAAAAGCAGTCAGAGGATACATTGCAAATCAGACTGAATCATTTCAGTAAGGCTCCATGATAAACTTATGAATACCACCATAATTCAAGTACATGCACCAACTACAGAAGCAGAACAGGAAGAAAGTGATAGATTCTAGGAAGGAGTACAGGAAGAAATTTGCAGTACACCAACACAGGATGTCCAGCTGATCATTGGAGACTGGAACATAAAAATTGGAAGCAAAAAAGAATCAAAAACAGTAGGCAGATTTGGAAGAAAAGAAATGAAGCAGGCAAGTGTCTGATAGATTTTTGTGAAGCCAACAACCTATTTTGTGAAGCCAACACTGGAGGTTGTTGTTTTAACTTTGTTTATTTTAACTTGTAATTTATTTAATAAATTTTTAAGGGGTGGGTGGGAGGTAATTTGTTTTTATTGTTGCACTGCACTTTTTACTGTAAGCCACCCCAATTGATCTCAAAGGGGTGGGGTATAAATAAATAAATTATTATTATTATTATTATTATTATTATTATTATTATTATTATTCATTGCAAACACATTTTTCATCCAACCAGAGAAAAGGTTATACACATGGACATAACCAGATGGCCAACATAAAAATCAAATAGATTACATAATTGGATTTAAAATATGGTGAAGCTCTATATTGGTGGCCAAGACTAGACAAAGTGCTGATCACAAACTACTCATTTCAAAAATAAAAGTAAAACTCAAGAAGAGAACAAAACCAGTCATCATACCAAAATCCAATTTAAACATTTCCACAGAATAAATTGACAATATAAGAAACAGATTTGCAATACTAAGAATAATGGATCGTAAATCAGAAGTGTTTTGGTCTGATGCCAGGGACACAATGAAAGAAGAATGGATAAAGAAACTTCCAACAGACAAAAGGAAAGCAAAGAAACCATGGATGACAGGCAAAACACTACAAGCAATAAAGGAAAGAAGAGAAAAAAAGAAACAAAAAAAGGAGATAGGAGTAAACTAAGAACCATGAATGCAACAGTACAATGGCTAGTGCACAAAGTTAAGGAAAATTATTACAACAACAAATGTAGAAAAATAGAAGACAACAACAAAAAGGGAAGAACAGGAGATCTATTCCACAAGATTCAAGAAATCAAGGGAAAGTCCAAACCAAGGACCGTATGCTCTACAAAAATAAAAATAACATGATTCAAGACAAGGAGAGAATAAAAAGACCATGGATGCAATACACAGAAAAGTTATTTAAAAGAAATGACAACATGAAGGACACATGGAACGAAAAGCTATATAAAGTGAACCCCAAATTCTAAAAACTGTGGTGGAAGCTGCAATAAAAGAAATGGCAAAAAGCAAGACTCCAGGAATAGATGATATTCTAATAGAACTGTTGCAATCCACATTGATAGAATTGCCTATATTGCTGACCAATATATGTGAACATATATGGAAAACAAATGATGGCCAACAGATTGGAAGCAGTCAATATACATCCCCATCCACAAAAAAGGAGACACAAGAGACTACAGTAACTATAGGACCATAGCACTGATCTCCCATGCAAGCAAAATTATGCTCAAAATTCTGCAACATAGACACCAACTATTCTTGGAGAGATAAATCCCAGAGATCCAAGCAGGGTTCAGGAAAAGAAAAGGTACCAGGAATCACATTGCAAATATACAATTGCTAATTGAGCATAACAGGGAGTTCCAAAAGAAAATCAGCATGTGCTTTATAGACTATAGCAAAGTCTTTGACTGCATAGATCATGAAAGGCTATGGTACACTCTTAAAGACATGGGATGCCAACATCTGATAGTCCTAATGAGGAATCTCTACCCAGGACAAGAGGCTACTGTCAGAACAGAACACAGAGAAACAGAATGGTTCCCAATTGGCAAAGGGGTCAGACAAAGTTGGATCCTTTCACCATATCTCTTTAACTTGTATGCAGAATATATTATAAGAAAAACAGGCTTGGACACAGAAGGAGGAGTGAAAATAGGAAGAAGGAATATCAACAATCTAAGATACGCAGATGACACCATAATACTAGCAGAAAACCTCACAGACCTGGAATACCTACTAATAAAGATCAAAGAAGAAATTGCAAAGGCAGGCTTAACATTGAACATAAAGAAAACAAAAATAATGACCACAGAGAACTTACACACATTTAAACTAGACAATGAAGAAATAGAAATAGTAAAAGGGTTCTCATACCTGGGATAAAATATTTATCAGAATGGGGACTGCAGCCAGGAAATCAGAAGATTAAGAATGGGGAGAGTGCCTATGAAAGAACTAGAAAAGATCATAAATCTAATGACATACAACTTGGCACAAAAGTCAGAATCATACAAGCCATTGTATTCCCTATTACCATGTATGGATGTGAGAGCTGGACAGTCAAGAAAAAAGATAGGTGGAAAAATAAATTCATTTGGGATAATGTGGTGCTGGTGAAGAGTGCTGAAGATCCCATGGACAGCCAAAAGGACAAACAAATGGGTCCTAGGACAGATCAAGCCAGAAATATCCCTAGAAGCCAAATGACAAGACTTAGACTACCATACTTTGGACACATCATGAGAAGGCATGAGTTCTTGGAAAAGACAATAATGTCAGGAAAGTTGGAGGGAAGCAGAAACAGAGGATGGCCACATGCTAGATGGATGGACTTTATTAAAGAAACCACGAATATGAGTTTGCAGGAGCTGGGCAGAGCAGTAGAGGACAGGGAGCTTGGAGATATCTCATCCATAGTGTCGCTATGGGTCAAGATCAAGGCGAAGGCAGTTAACAACAAATACCCAGCATAGAGCAAAAAACATCTAGGGGTAGCTGTGTTGGCCATACAGGAAATCCAAAAACATCCAAACAATGATACTTTTATTGGGCTAATTAAAATGCACGACTATATGTACATTTTGGTTTGTCCAATAAAAGTATCATTGCCAGCATGGAGCACTGATCTGAGTGTTGGACTATGACTCTGGAAACCAAGGTTTGATTCCTAGCTCAGCCATGAAACCCACTTGATGACCTTGGGCAAGTCACATGCTCTCAGCCTCCAGGGAATAGCAAATCTCCTCTGAATAAATCTTGCAAAGAGAACCTCACAATAGGTTTGCCTTAGGTCAGGGTCACCATAAATTAGAAACAACTTGAAGGTACACAACATACACGGCTTGCATTACACAACAGACATTTCTTTATTTCTCCTAGTAGCCCTACATCCAATGCATCAAAAATGTGATGGTGGTGGTTAAAAAAAAATCAAAGGAACCTGCCAAAAGATTTGGATTAATGTATTAAGATGCCCTTCATAATAAAGAATGAAAAGTATATGTGAACATTCTTATCAGTCCAAATTTTTTTGAGAAATAACTCTGTCCAAAATCTTGATACATGTCACATTCCCACAACATCAATCAATAATTTTAAGAAATATTAATGTTAATGTAAATGTTAATAATAATAATGTTATTATTGAAGACATCCTTCTTCTCAAACCACATTACTTTGCAGGCATTGAAATAACATGTATGTGTATGTGTTTCTAAAAAATGATGGAACATAACAGAGCACACCAGTGACTAACTCCAAAAGTGAAACATTCTTCCATTTTCTGAATAAGGTTACTATCATTCACTTCCAAGACTTTTTTCTGATCACCCAGCTGAAGCACAAGCAGGGAAACTATTTTTGCAATATATTTTAGAGATAATTATTGGGTGCAATAAGTATGTGCAACATGTGCTGTGGGTCTAAGCCAGGGGTAGCCAACCTTTTTGAGCTGGGGGCTGGGTTGCTGTCCCTCAGACAATTGGGGGGCTGAAGCACCAAAAATAAAAAAATAAAAAATAAATAAATTACAATTTTAAAAAATTAAAAATTTAAATTATTTTTTAAAAATGCACACTCTCTCAGCCCCAGAAAAGCCCCTGTGGAGATTTTGCCAAGAAAACCCCAAGAACAAGTAATAACAACAATAATCAATATAATCATGGTGGGGGGCAGCGGCGGCAGGACTGGCCTGGGGCCAGTTCAAAGGCCTCGGGGGGTCGCATCCAGCACCCCAGGCCTTAGGTTGCCTACCCCTGGTCTAAGCACAGGCTGTGTGTTGGTCAAATAATAACTGCTAGGTGACTAACTAGATGAATTTGAAATAAGCATGCTGGATGATCCCCTAAAGGGGTTCAGTTTTGAAGCCTTCTGAGGGAGATATTATTAGCATATACATCCACTGCTGTGCTTCTTGTTGTTGTGTGTCTTCAACTCATTTTGGCCCCTAAGGCCATAGGGGTTTCATTGGAAAGATTTGTTCAAAGGGAATTTGCTTTTGCTTTCATCTGAAGCTGAGAAAATGTGACCTACCTAAGGTTATCCAGTGATTTTAATGGCTGAGCAGGGATTCAAACCCTGGTCTTCAGAATTATAGTCCAACACTCAAACCACTATATTACAATGGCTCTCCACTGCTGTACTCATCGGACGTTTTCACACGGGGGTCCCTAAAGCCGGCTGGAGCCATTCCGGAATGGCTCGTGCCGCTGATTCCGGAATGGCTCCGGCGGCGGCAGGCTAATTCCTTTTGCCACCCGGAATTACCTTTCCGCTGCTGAAGCCGGAATTAGAGGCCTTTCTGCCGGAGTGAGGCCGGACTTAGGGCTCCGTGTGTTTGAACACACGGAGAGACGAGCCGGACTGACACAGGGATGGCACCGGAAGGGGCGGGGTTTGCCGCCGCGCGCATGTGAATGACCTGGAAATGGAGCCGGAGTAGGGCCGGACGGAGGTAGGAATGCGTCCTCCTAAAGCCCCGTGTGAAAACGCCCATCCTATAAGTATTTTTGGTGCTAAATGAATGAGAATCATGTGTACCTCCAGATGTTGCTGGACTACAATTCCCATCATTATGGTGATATCAGGGCTGATGGGAGTGCAGTCCAACAGCTGAAGCTTCCCACATTTTCCATCCCTGATCCTCTTTCATGATAGACTCAGGGAAAAGAAAGGGGGAAAGCTCAGGTTCACCTGACAGTTGCAACTTGTTCTTTTGGAATAGGCTGTTAACACAAAAGAGGGGGCAGATTTGAACCTATGTTTGTCACATACATCTCTAATTATACTACCACTTGTAAATCCCTGGTGGAGCCAGAGATTGTAGCACATTTGTTTCTATGCTTATTTGCAAATGGACCCCTTTTTTTAATCTATAAATCTCACTTTTTAAATTATGAATAAATCCTATTTTGGGGAGAAATAAACTGCTCCTGAAAGGAAAACAGAGGATCCATAATTTGGTTCACATCCCTAAGAGGGATTCCCCCCCCCCCATTATGATTCCTGTGTGGATACTGGGTCCCTAACCAGGGAAGGTTGGAGGAGGAGGTTTTGTGTGTGTGGATGAATCCAGTCAGCAGAGTAATCCATGCAGCAGGACAACTTGTAGCAGAGAACACACCAGCACGCAGGCAGCAATCCAAGCTTCTAGCAGAAGGCTTTATTATAGAAAAGCAAATGCAAAGTAAAAACTATAAAGTCCAATAAAACATATCTTTAGCCAGATGTGGCTAACAGGAACAA